AGATAATTAATGGAGAGAAATTTAGTTTTGGAGGCATTAAAATTAACAAGCCATCTTTTACACTAGTTAACAATGAACTTGAGGTTGTTTTGGACATCAGCAGCCATTATGACCTTGTAGGATGATCAGCCTTACTATCGAGGCAGGAGTAAATGGTTGTGTTCTATAATGATTGTTATATTCTGCACATAAAATTCATCCCAAAATCTTATATTTGACAATAAAAACTAAAAATAAACTCAATGAAAATGATATTATTACTTGGGAATATGAGGCCAATGCAGAATGTTGGTTCAATGTCCTAATTAATAGTTTGGTGGTTATAAAAGTGGACCAGCATGTCCTGCATTCTAGTGAAAGAGAGAGAACTGACCTTGAAGCTCTCTTTCCTGCATTTATATTAATGTGCAGTTGGATTGTCCTTCACTTTGGTACAGAGTTTTTAATCTTTTCTTTTGTTTATCCAAATAATTAGTTTCAGAAATTAAGTTAGCTGATTGACCTGTCCTTAAGAATGCTGGTGATAACGATATGATAAGTAGATGATAGTATTTACATTAGTCGGACTATTGTCCTCATCTTTGTCGCCATATTTGTCACAACGTTTCGGCCATTTTATGCTCCGGCCCTCAAGGACACATGGCACAGTGGATAAAGGCGTTGGTTAGATCCAGTGACAGACCCAAAGAAGGTGAGTTCAATTCCTGGTTAAGGCAGTGGAGAACTTTCAGAGGGAAAATTAGCAGGAGATAACTGATAACCGACATCCATCAAACATGGCACGTGGAACTAGATCAGTCTACCCCAGTGATCGTAAAATAAAGGGTTCAGTTCGAAATTCCAACCACCTGAAGAAGGCCGGAGCATACAACAGCCGAAACGTTGTGACAAATATGGCGACAAAGATGAGGACAATAGTCCGACTAATGTAAATACTGTACATAATACCTCATCTCAGAAATATAGACAGACTCTGAAGTAGATGATACTTTTCAAAGGATTTAAGACAGATTTTTATTTTATTTCATTTATTAAACTTAGCTTACTACTAAAGAACAATTAATTTTGAGAAACATTTAAATAATTTAAATTGAATTTAAGCAGATTTTGGCATTTAATACTGTTTTGCAAGCAATTTTCACATTGAAGTTCTCTTTATTCCTAATAATATAAAATTCCAAATTTGAAAATTGCCCTGGCATGAAACTCAGAGTTGTGCAATTAATGTAAAATATTATGTGTATATATATATATATATATATATATATATATATATATATATATATATATAAAGAAAGAAAAGCTGCCAGGTTTACTTTCTTAAATCTAATGGATTTGCTATTGAGACAGGAGTAAATGGTAGTGCCATCTGCAGAAATACTTAGTTGGGAACTGAATACATTGAGAAGATCATTGATGAAGATCAGGTCCTATGCTGTTTCTGATCTCCACCCCTAATGTCATCAGTTCCCATCAGATCTGAGAAAGTAAATATAGCAGCTGCTCTTGAAAAGGACCTCTAATCTGTGGTTAACTGTGGCAAGAAATTGCTTGTAAATTTTACTACCAAAACAAAACTGATTTCATTTAACCACTATAGAGAACCTTTTCTGACTGCATGGGTGATGCTAGACCCCAGAAAAGCAACACACTACACCTTTTTGGCCTCACATTTTTCACTGACATGAAATGGAGTGACTATATCGATTCAATAGCTGCCTCTAACTGCAAGGAAATTTGGGTCACTAAATTGTGCTAGAAAACTTTTCTCAAAATCCATCTTGCACATGCATTGAATACTGTTGCCATATTTGGTCTGGTGCTTTTGCTGTACATCTCAAGATTCTTGGCAAAATCCAAAGAAGGATCTGTAATGGAATCAATCCTGAACAGGTATGTCGACTTCAGTCACGTTCTGACTGACATAATTTGGCTTCTCTCTGTCTTTTCTACAAATATTTTCATGACATGAAGTGGAGTGACTATATCGATTCAATTTCTAGTTTTTCATGTAAGCATAAGAAAAATTAAACATTTCATATTTGTCTACAAACATGATACATTTGTGTTTTCTCCAATTGACAATGATGACCTTTCTATGTTCCAGTTTATCATGGTATGAAAAAATAACTACCCCACCTCCACCCTCTGAGTTTAATTTTCTATTTAGCATAGATCTGACAATTAATTGGTTGATCAAGACAAACCCACAAGTCTATTTTTAATTCTGACCTTGTGTTTTCTCACCCCACTCCCTTTATCTTTCAGAAAAGAGGTAACACTTTGCTTTTGAAATTTTTTTAAAAATCATTTAATCACCAGTTACTTAACATCATCTGAAGTGGTACAATCACAGTACCAAAACACGAAAGCTATTGTGTAGCAATGTCAACAGGTTTTATTATAATCTTTCATAATAAAAATAATAATAATATATTGCTCTACTTTGTACTGAGCACTTTTTAAAAGTAAATGTTACAAACGGTGGAATTTTACTCCATCTGTTATTTCTCTCATTTGTGTGTATATATATATATATATATATATATATTACTAACTTCGATCTATCTAATATATATATAGAGATATTATTACCTTACTAGATCTATCTAAACATACTGTAATTACTGTAGCAGCTCTTGTTCTTTTTAGAATTACCAACATCTGTAAATCCTATATATATATATATATATATATATATATGAATCAAATAAAGATATATGAGCAACCATACATGCGTGCAATTACGTTCATATACAGATTTGCAAATGAATATTTATTTAATATTTGGTGTAATCAAAACAGTGCTCACTGAAGTGTAACAGAGCTAAAAAGTATATATTAATAACTATATGTATTACTTACATCAGTTGTAAAGTTTCATGCGTGTACTATCGTCAGATATTAATAATAGTTATGAACTTTTCAATGCAGTTGTTTTCAAAAATTCTGGGTATCATGGGAGCAGCATTATATTATATATTGATTCAACATTTAAAATTATTAAAATTATAATTTAATATTGGGGCATAAATAAAAAAACAAAAAAAAACAGTGTGGATAAAGAAATAATGTAAAATAAAATAAAGAACAAAAATAAAAAAATTGTGTTAAATTTAAATACAAATGATCAAGCAGTCCAAGAAAGGCAACTTTATGCATATGAGGATCAAAAAGAAGAAGAAGAAATAAGGAAAAAGGGAGGAAAAGAAAAAAAAGAGTAAGAAAAAGGAAAGAGGAAGAAGTGGAAAGATAGATAGAATTAAAGGTAAAATAAGAATAAATATAAATATAAAGTTAATATTGAGTTAATATGGAATAAATATAAAATATAAAAATAAGATGAGAGAAACTATAAAAATAAGAATATGGGGAATATATAATACCAGAGGGATGGGTTTAGTTAATTGATATTATGGTGGTATGTTAATAGAATGGATGGTTTGTAGATATTTGTTTACGGCTGCGTGAATAGTGATTTTCCAAGCGTAGCTTAGATGTGGCACAAGGCCGAAAGTAGGGGGTACCCAGTGAGGATCGACTACAGCTGCATGAATAACATGACCACACAATTTATATTTGACATAAAATACCATAAAACATGAAATACAAGAAGGAACAAAAATGGTTTTAAAGACATAACATTTGTATTTATCTTGTGTATATTGATTTACATGCGTAGAAGTTAAAGATCTGTGGGTGTTATGTCCCTTAAACTGTGAATATTTTCATCTGAACTCACAAAAGTTGAATTAATTACAAAGCTGAGAAATGATGAATAAACTGTAGCTTTAAAAGAATATTTCAAGGAAAAAAGTTCTTGTTGCATGTTTGGAAATGTTTCGTATGTTTGTAATGTAAGGTGGAAAAGTTCAGGTATGTGTGAATATGCTTTTAACATCTGACCGCTCATGGTTGAGACGAGAATCCTTTTGCAACTACATCTTGTAGCAAGAAGAAAGAAGAGGATGAAGCAAGAAGCCACCCAGTAATTATAATATAAGGAAAGAGACCCCTAGTGACAATTAGGAACTAAGGAGGAGCTAACTCCAACAATATGGTTGTTTTCAAAAACTATGGCTCTTGTGGAAGCAATGTTATATAGTAAATTAAATCAACGTACAATCTTATTATAAGTATAATCACTTATTGAGGGATAAATGCAAAATTATAGAGTGCGGTTAAATAGTAAAGTTGTTATATAGGAATAAAGTGTCGCTGCTGACAAATATTCACTATTTTCTGTAAATACTTTCATGGTAATTGTTCTGATGAACTTTCATCTATTGTACCTAGACCTTATGAATTTAAGTGTTGTACTAGATTGGTGGCAAGATCTCATCATTTCACAGCTGAAATGACTAAATGTAACCATAAGTTCTATGCTAACAATTTCTTCTCTCACACTTCCCGCTTGTGGACCTCTCTTCTGGTTTCTTGCTTACCTGTCAATTTTGATCTTCAAAAATTTAAATGCAATGTAAATCATTATCTTCTATTTTCTTAATTCCTGTTCATTTATTGTTCTCTCTCTTTAATAGTGTTTTTATTCTTATATTCTCTAAAACTCAGTAACCCCTTGTGTCTTAGTGGCTTTATTGCCTTGCTTGGGGTGAAATGATTAAAAAAAAAATGTAAAATATTGCACATTGAGTGCTAATAATAATAATATGCCAAGTGTGAGTTTCTGTCTGTCGTGTTTTGCCATACTGGAGTTATCTTCCTTGCACTGACGATTACCAGGTGACAGTATCTTTGTCACAAAAATGTCAGACAATGAAGCTACAAGTAAAAAGGACATCTTCAGAAAATAATTAGAAAATATATTTGGAGACTCACACATAAATATCTAAAGATAGTAATATGACATCAATTTTTAACAGCATGGGTAAGCTAGTTTATTGGTATTGGTAATAATGAAAATAAAAACATTCCAACAACTATTATGGGTCAGAGGTCATGTTTGTTTTGTTTTTTTTTTACTGTAAGTTCATACATACCTGATGGATTGTGTAATTTTCAACATTTTGCAAGAATATATTGCCCAATTGTCCATTATCATTGTTGACCACAGCAACATTCAGATTAAAAGGATCTCGGCCAATACACAGACAGAAAAGAACAATTTGCACAGATGGAAAGATGAATTCAAAGATAAGTAAACTGTATAAGAAAAAAAATTACTAAAGTACAATAAAGATGAAAAATAGTTTAACAAAACAAAACAAACTCAATAGAAAAATTAAACATGAAAACAAAGGAGAAAGATAATATCAAATATTGGGCAAGACATTCAAAATTATATCCTGTCCTGTCACAAGAAATCTGACAAAATTAGTAAGTTTTAAAAAGTTTTCTCTGTAAATTTTATTTTTAAATATATGCTGTAGAGATTATTTCTTTTCTCTCTTGCTTGTGATTTATTTATGAGTTTTTGAGTATAATATTTTGATTATGAGCAGGGCTGGTGAGTACTACCCCCAAACCTCCCAACCAGTGGTGGTATACCTGACTGGAGGCCCTCGATAGTGCTTTGTGACCCTAGCTATCTTATCAACATTTGCTTTTTCCTACCTACATTTATACACATTACAAATTAAACTAAGCACAACTGACTACTAGTATTAAAGGATTAAAAATTTTCACAGATTTTGACATCATTTTGGGGTCTTTTTTTATTCAAATCCATAAATTTCTTTTGTTCATACTAAGTCTAAAAAAGCAATATATAAAATTCACTAGTTTTTATCTATAATGTTGAATTTGTTAAAATTATTCAACTTTTTAACAAGAAAAATCTCAAGTTGATGTTAAAAATTGCCACAAAACATTGTTGATTTATTTAAGATAGAATGATTTATGATGACATGTCTCTAATTTGTATTTAGATGTAATTTAGTAAAATGAAATGCAGAATTCCTTTGTAGATATAAAAAATAGCATTAACTGTATCAGTAAAAATCCAAGATTACTACTGCAGAAAACAACCAGTGAAATTACAAATTTACTCAAATATGGTCATCATTTTTAACAACATAGGTAAACCTCAAACTAATAAGAAACTGTTTAATAATTAAAAGAAATAACTGTTTAATAATTAAAAGAAATAACTGTTTAATAATTAAAAAAAATAAATTAATCCAAAAATGCTTTAAAAAAGTAAAGTAGAAATAAGTTAAAAAATCAAATCAAATCAGTAGAAAAATGTGATAAAAAGTAAATAATTCAAATAAGTACAAAAAACTGAATTTTCTAAAATTGAATAAAAATATTTAAAAATGTGCATAGAGTGTGAATCTCATGATAATGATTTTCCAAGCGTAGCTTGGATGTGGCACAAGGCCTAAAGTAAGGGGTACCCAGTGAGGATCGAACTCACTACTCATTGGTAATTGTTCTAGCGAGACAAGCTTGATAAGCATTACACCACCTTGAGGTGCCCATGTGAATCTCATGATATATATAAAAGCTTCTTTGTATCTTACCCAATCTGTCGCCACATAACGGTAATGTTTTTAAAAGCACTGGCAAAGATATTCCTAAAGCGAGGTATATAACTTCTTGCCCGTTGCCTGCAGGCTGAAAAAAAAAAATGCATAGTACATTCCATTTAATAAAAACTTAAAAGGAATAGAGCAATTTGACGTCATTTTTACAAAGTAATATAGAAACAATATAAATATGTTCATTTTCAGTGAAGTAAAAAGTATAATAATGAACAATAATAAACTATAATAGAGACCATAAAATAAACAATTATAAACTATAATTAATGACTTGCCACTTGTATCCCAGGATGCCCCTCTACTAGAGTGGCTAGCCAATCCATTTGTGTTTGTTCAGCACCCACAGAGTCCACCTGTGGTTTATACTGCAACTATGCTGAGCGGACCTTAGTTACAGTTTCTGGAAGAGAGCATATTATCTGGTGTATTTAACAGTCTGAACAAGGCCAGCATGCTCAAACCCTCAGTCACAATGACTTACAATTTTGTGCTAGCACAACCATCAACGGCTCCCAAATAGTTCTATCTACCCAATTTCATTCATAAGGCTTGGGTCAACACATGGTGTGATTTTCAGGTACTTTTCAAAGGTGCCACATGCTGAGATCCCCTCCCTCAGATCAATAATATCAAGAAATCATCTTCCTGACAAATTGACTATGATAGGCACCATAAAATAATCAATTATAAATTATAATAAAGACTATAAACAATTATAAACTATAATAGGGACAATAAAAAATTATAAACTATAATAGGGGAAAAAATAAAAAATTCTAAAGTATTTTTTATTAATGAAATGTCTGGATCTCCTCAGAACCTGTTTCTTTATTATCATTGTTGCCATGACTTCTTGGGAAAGACAATATAGTAATCTTTCTACTAGACCAATTGCCATCCAAGGCCAGAGAGGCTATTTAACTCCTGATTGGAGAAGGAGGAGTGATCAATTCATGCTATTCCCAAGGGTATTTTTGCAAAAGTAAATGCAACATTTTAGGAAAAAATTTGAACTTGGCTTGTTACCTTAACTCCCTTTTCCAAACCAAAATTTGCTAAATCTGTTATTTTCTATTTATTTCATAATTATATCCTAACAAAAATATCAGAGTTATACAACTAGGTCACACCAGCTTAACTACAAATAATGCATATATATATATATATATATATATATATATATATATATATGTATATCTATAAAAGGCAGGATGTGTGTGTAACGAATGCACAGCCGCAATTTTCAACAGATTTGCACCAAAATTTACATGCACATGCTCCAAGTTAGCATGAAGGCCAAGACCAACTTTGCATTTCCCAACTCCCATCGATAGTGGAAATAATCGATTTTTCATGCTTCTACGGCAGTTTTCATGTAGTTTGCGGCCATTTTCTACTGGCCAGAGTGAGAGCCTATAGCTGGCTGCCACAAATAAGCAGGAAGATTCTATTGGCCAGTGTGAGAGCCAACAGCTGACTGACACGAATGTTAACTAGCATGCTAGCATGCAAAAAAATCGATAGCTGCATTCGTCACAAGTGGGAAAAATTTAAATCTGCATGGCACTTTACTCCAATTGGCTCATTCACTTGCTTAAACTCAACGTTGATTCTGATTCCGCAGAACTGGGTTGGGTGTGAAAAAGTATTTGTTGTTAACATTCTTTTTTCATTCGGTTTTTCCAGTTATGAGTCCTTTTTAAAGCTGATCGTTTTGTGTTCATTTTGTTTAGTTCTTTTTTCGTAACAGATTTAATGTTTAGTATAGAACTTAGAAAAAATTCGCAGTGTGAGATAGGCAAGAAGTAAGGCATGTAGCAACATCAGCATGGCAAAGGGCACTCCTTTAAAGGCAAGGAAGGGCAAAAATAATTTAAGTCAAGTGATAGCAATTGCTGTATGAGTCGTACGATTTTTGAATCAAGCACGGGCAACACTGGGCCATGCTGCTAGTATATATATATAACTGGACATTGAAGTCAACACCCAGAGGCAACAGTCTGGAGAAGAATAAAAAACATTTCTATAACTCTAGATACATGCATAAAAAAATCCTTACATTCAGTTAAAAATAAAAATTATCCTTGATAATGGCTAAAAGTAGAGCCAAAAGTGCTTGGACATACAGAACATTTAGACAATTTTTACATAACTTATGTCCTGAAAAGAAAACATTTATATGAATACAAGAAAAATTAAATAAAAAGCTTAATCATAGTACCTTGTCAGTCATCTATAATGAAACGTGTGTGGCGGGAGTGCAAATATTGTCAGAGGGAGTGTATCTGTAGAAGGGAGAAAATGAATAAAAAGAGACAAGAGGAAAAACCATAATTACTCAATGTGTTTCATCCACTGAGGGACTTTATCAAGACCTAGAAAAAGTCTCTTAGGGGATGAAATGCATCAGCTAAGTGTAGTTCTTCCTTTGTCTCTTTATATATATATATGTGTATGTATACAGGGTGTCCATAAAGTGCGTGTGCATTTTAAAAAATTTATAACTTTATTTGTATTTGCGATAGAAATAATTTGTAAAAAGGATTAGAAAGAAGTAAATGTATATTTTTTAAAGATTTTATTGAAATTTTATTTAAGTTTCCACATGTCCTCCATCATTAGCAATACAAAGGGTAATACAATTTTGCAGTTCACGGAAAACATTTGCCAACTGATTTACAGTAATGCCAAAATCACATTAGTTATTTTAGCTATACTTAAAACTAGGTACATTAAACTTTATAACATTTTTTACAGATTATTTCTATCACAAACAAATAAAGTTATAAATTTTAAAGTGCACACGAACTTTATGGACACCCTATATATATATATATATATATATATATATATATATATATATATATATATTATACTAATAGTAATACTTGGTTGAGAACCTCAGATAGCACAACTTGTAAGTACATCAAAACAAATTGGTATCCGATGAAAAAATTGGAAAAAAAGAAAGAACTAGAAACATCTGAACAGGGTGAAACAAATTGTCCAGTGCTTTAAGTTTTTATCCAAAGAAAAAATCCAAGCAAGTAATATAGCTAAAATGTAGAGTGCTCAATACACTAAGTAGAGCTGGGATATATAAAACAAATCCTAAAGAGCCAGGAACAACCTACCTAGGTTTCCAGGTAAGCAAGCCAGATTATCCTGAAGATTCATTTAGGTCAAACCTAGGTAGATTGTTCCTGGCTCTTTTAGGATTTATTATATATATATATATATATATATATATATATATATATATATATATATATATGATATCACAGTAACTGAAATTAAATTTCCCTAAACTTTCCAGAATAGTTTGGAGGTAACTGAATAATTGTATGCATAAAACAGAAGATGGCAACAGTTTTTACAATCATGGTCTTTATATTTCCTATTGATTGAAGTATCCCAGTCTCCATTCCTGTTTTCTTTTAAATCTTCATCTTATACAAGGCCCAAGATCCACTTAAATAGAGGGTTACTGAAGACAGTTCTTGTGTGAGCACTAAGAGTAATGATTGCAGTTTATGTGGGTATGTGGGAATGATAAGGTTAAGATTGTAGTAGTTGAGTAAGCATCCTCTTGGAAGTCAGTTCCACAAAGTAGCAGTTCATGAGAAGAAGCTATCTGAGTGCATCTTCCTTCTTACAAATGGAATACAAAGGAAATAAGGATTGTTTACCTCAGTTTACGTGGAATGCCAGATCTTAGCTGGGAGGGTTATCGCTGGTGGAACTAAAGAATGTGACTTGTCAGAACATTTTACATGAAAATAGAGATAGATTAGTGAGAGGCTTGAAATGTTTCATCTGTGGAAAAGGGATTACACAGTGGCAAATGATTCACCACCCACAAGAACATGATGATTTTGAACTCTATCAAAACTAGGAAGTGAGGATTGGGCAGCTCCAACCGAGATATGGCAGCAATACTCCTATAACACTGCGGGGTATCCTCACCCCTGCGCAACATGACAACACCATCCCATCCTCGGTCACCAGTATGTCCACGATCAAATCCTGCGGCTAACCCTGAATTTGGTCACTTCAATCCAAGCCTCTCCCTGTCCAATGTTGTGTTTCTTTTGATTGCAAGGCAGGCAAGGATCAAATCATCACCAGATATTGCTGGATTGGTGTCGTTCAGGTGGGACTTATAAGACAAAACAAAAAGTTGTGTAAATCAACAAGGTTTATATAACCGAGGTTTATATAGGAACACTTTTTCGTATAAGAATCTACAAGCATGCAGGTTAACGACCATTCCTTCATAGTCTAATTTCATGACACTTTGTTCTTTGTTTCTGTTGTGGTAAACACTCCTACAGTAGAATGAACTCTTCTTCCTCTCATAAATACAAACTGCAAGAAGTGAAGTGGAGTAGTAGACGCAGTGCTAATCTACTTATAACTAACACTATTGTTTTGTATATATCTTCAATATACTTGTTAAACCTACCTTCGTCTTCCGTGTCTTTCTTTCTGGCCCCTAAACAGGTCATAACAGTTTCGAAGTCAGAGTCAAGGTTTCAAACTTTAAGTCAAAGCCTTCTTCAGGCAGCAAATTAAAGAATACTGACAACACATTTGTCTCCCTCTTTCTCTTTCTCTCTCTCTCTGTCATTATATAGAGGCTTTCAATACTTTCACTTTGCAATTTCATCAGGACACTCTGCTCAATTTATCTAGTAGTCTGGAACAAGGCATGAGTCAAGAGTTCTTCATGGCAGCAAATCACATGGCATAATGGAAGTGCATCTCTACCTCAACTGCTACTCTCTCTGTCTTCTCTTCTCGCTTCTCCCTCCTGGTATCCCTGTATGGCTATTTATGGAGTCCAACCTCCAAAAACAGGTTGAGGTTGGCTTGTTCTGAGATGCCTTCGAATCTCCTGTTACCCAATCAAATCTCTCCACAGGTGCTGCTGGGTGGCCCTTGTATGTCCAAATATGGGGAACTCCTTCTGCAAGCTGGGTGGTGGTAGCAATATGTTGATCCACCATCTTGTTCTCACCCCTTCTCTTTCTCGCACCTCACACCAGTACCTTTCAGTGGGCATATTCATTTTCTCCCACTTCCTCATATCAGCTTCTCATGGAAGAGGTATTTCATCCAACACAAAACAGATGTTATTTCTAATGTCACCATAAAATTATTATCTGCTCTCTGGGGTGGTCGCTTAGTTCTCAGTCAAGGCTAACACTCTTTCCTACATGCCATCTGTTGGTCCTGGCTAGCAGAACAAAAGGAGGAGACATCACATCCAATTAGTGTTGGACAATTCAACTTTGCCCAAGTGGATTTCAGCACTATCTTCTAGTAAGGTCCTTATTCACGAAATGAGAAACAAAATAAGAGTATATTTTCTCTTGTTTTCAGTATGTCTTTCAATCTATCTACTATCTTCTTTGTCTTTTTTTTTTTTTAAGCATTTCATCCAAGCAAGACAAGAAGCCACTAGGACGCAAGGGGTTACAGAAAATTTAGAGCAAGATCGGATAGGAGTGATAGAGGAAAGGATGAGGAGAATGGTAGTGGATAGATCAAGGCAACTGGAGATGTCGATTGACATTGCATTTGAATAGCTGGTGATTATAGCTCTCAGGGAAACTGGAATAGGGAAGGGAGTTCCACAGGCGAGAGGTGTGAGACATGAAGCTATTGGAGTAGAAGAGACGGCTACATTTAGGAGTTTCGACAGTGAAAGGGAGAGAGCGGGATGCCAGCCTTGTAGGGTGCTTGAACTCATGAAGTCTGGGAACCAGCCAATGCAGCTCCTCAGAGCAATTGCTATGAAAGTATTTGTAAAAAAGACAGAGAGGGGTGACGACGAGTCTGTGAGAAAGTGACTGTAGACTGTGTTCACTTTTGATTTAATTTAAGCCTTTTTTCTTTCTTCACATTATCGGCATTCTTACAGTGTCACACTCCATTTTCAGTCTGATCTGGCTCTTGTAAAGGTAGAGTATAGCAGAAGTATAGCAGGAGGTTCCAGGTACTTACTGTAGCAATGCAGGAAACCAACTATATTTTCAACAATGGATTCCACTTTGAAGACAATAAACTGCATGAGGCAGCAAGGCTTCTGATCAGGAGATTGAAGATTTTGAGGAGTGTGAAACCACTTCTTAATTGTTGTTCCAAGGTCCACCATGACATGAGGTGGTAGCACCTGTTAGGGTCACAGCTATGAGTAAATCATGACCCCCTCCCTCCCCAAGAAAAAAAAAAATTTATAGTAAAAATGCCACTAGTACATTTTTATAAAATAAATTACCAATAATACATATTTATAGTAAATTTACCAACAATACATTTTATCTGTATTTGAAGGCATACAAATGCACTCAAAATATATTTTGTTGAAGCCATAAAATTGTGTTCAAAATATTTAGATTTTAGTGTTAAATAACCCATGGAGCTTGATATGCTGCTAAACAAAATCCACTTTGGAATCAAAAATTGTTTTGGGGAATTATATATAATTATTTTTAATGTACATACTAAAAATGGATTTGATAAAAATCCTTGACCATCACTCACTTGGATTATAAATAGTAGGATCTGGCACTGAAAATGATGTTATCAATGGAGTTTCTTCATCAGTAAATTCCCCGGGAGGTTCATCATAAGTTAGATAACGCTGTTGAAAAAAGAAAATAATAATAAATTTAATTTTATTAATCTTACTTAAATGGTTACTATCAAGTTTGAATATGACGTCAACAGCTTTTTTTAGATAAGAAATGCTGTTACAGGAGAACTATTTGTTGAAGTGTTCAGAAATCCACTGATTTTTCTAGTAACCATCATGGCATACTTGTGTCAGGACACATACTCAAAATATCCGCTGATGGGACAGAATGCACTGGGGAGAGGAAGCATTAGTGGTAAATGAACATAAGTAGTCTAAGCACAAATTTAAATTCCAAATTAAATTTAAAAATTAAAATTTAAACTTTGCTAAATTCTCTTTCCTAACATTGCTTCCTGTTACACTATTCCACACCTTGATGAAACTTAATAGCAAAAGGAAAAAAAATACAGTTCAGTTCTTGTTTTAAAATATTAAATTTCTTTTTAAAAATAAAAAAAGATATTTCGCATTATTGTACAAAGCCAAACTTTAGTTGACATAACTGATTTTTATCTTTTTATTTGTCTTTACAAAACAGAAACATGAGACAATAGCCTCATTGGTTAAAGTGCTCATTAATTTTTGGACTTCAATCCTTGGTAGTGTAGACTTAAACACAGTGGAAACTGAGCGATAATTGAGCAGTACTAAAAATGATAACAAGACAAGACATGGCCAGCAGAAAGAGAACACTATAGCTCTGTAAATTAAATAAAGGTTTCAATTCAAAATTACTGAAGGTTTTCCATATTGACAGACACCTGAAGAAGAGCAGAGAGTATAATGGCTGAAACATTGTAATAACAAAAAAAGGTGACATTGGTCTGAATGTAAATAATATAACTTATGGAAACTCTTCATAATAGAAATTCAGAGAGAAACACAGAAATTCTTAACACCTCTTAAGACTTGTATTGAATTAAAATATAAAATTGATCCTGACCAGACATCTTGTCTCCAGTCACGTTCTCACCAATGTGACATGGATTTCTTTTTTGTCTTTCCTACAAATATTTTCAAGGCAACTGCTCAGATGGGCTTTTTTCTCCTGGTGCCCAGACTACATGAATTGAAGCCTGCTACTAGATTAGCAACTAGGTCTCACCATTTTACTGTTGAACTAGCTAAATGCAATTTTTCTACAGTAACAGTTTTTTTTTCTTGCACATCTTTTTCTTGCTTCCCTTATAACTACAATCTTCAAATATTTAAATTCAATATTGTTATGGTCCGGTTCCTTGTACCACGGTGATAGTCCAAGGTAGAACCAATAAAGAAGAACGCGAACACAGGTATGGAATAACACAGATATATTACAAACAGGAATATATACAGAGAAGTAGAAGTGTTAGTATGAACAATCAGGTTTAGTAGAGAGAACAATATAGTCTCGACGAGTATCACTATTCCAACGTCTTGCAGTAATTGTCTGAATGCAACTCTGTTTTGGACTGCCTCTGATTTGACTCTTGACTCAACTTGAACTACTGACGATATTCAGTCACCCCTCCCCCCCCCGCAACCAGGGCATCATGTGGCACAAGGCTGGTTTAACGTGGGATCTCCAAGCCTGTGGGCTCAGCCAAAAATATGCCCATTGAACCCGTATAAATGCTTTTTTTGTCCATTCCTCAATCCTCCCTATTTTCAATCTTCTCTTTCACTTCCTACAAGTCCTTGTGTTCTAGTGCCATTGTCGCCTTGCTTGAGGTGAAATGATAAAAAAAAAAATATATACATAATTGTACTGATAAATCATCAATTACCTCCACTTAATATCTAGGAAGTATAAAAAGCACCCTGTAATATCCATCAGTAGAGGAGTAGTCAGAGTAAAGTGCAGTAAAGCTTTGGTATGAGTTTATTCACTGGTTCTGTTTTTACTACAATAATAATATTAATAACAGTGGAGTCATATATAATCATTAGTTGTGTACAGGAAATATGCTTAGGACTAAAGGGCTGTAAAAACCAAGAATATATTTGATGCACCCTAATCCACTCAGCTTTTTCCGAGAACTGCTACTTTGTGAAAGAAAGTTCCATGTAGTTGCTTCCCTGAGCACTCATTCTTTAACTCTTTGAATTAACAGTCATTTGTCATCTTTACTTCTTATTCTTATAATCTTCATCCCATGTTCTCTCCCATTCCTATCATAAACTTCATTCCGAATTACCATTCTCTTGATTGCAGCTCTACTTTGAGTGGCTCATTGAGTGAACTTTCATAAAAAAAAATAAACTAAAAAGTACCAATGAAAATCAGGTAGTAGTTGGAGCAGTGAGTGGATTACAACATGAAGACAAGAAGCAAATTTCCAAAAGCAGACATTATGCAATTAATGTTATTTAGCATTTAACAAACAAAAGAATATTACTTACTTTTGTAGAAGATCTGTACACTGGAGTCACTGATCTTTCATTATTTATAATGTTTTGATCAGTCTGACACAACTTTAGAAAAACTGCTTCAAGATTCTACAATAATAAATACAACAAAATAAACTAATGTAGAGGAATTCAATTGACTATTGTAACATTTTCAAAGTAAATGAATTCAACATAACAGTCATTTTTTATATATATTTATCACATTCAAACATCAGTTCTCATTCTATCATCAAAGTTAAGCAATATCGAACATGGTCAGTACCTTTATTAAATAATATTTTAGCAGACTATTATTTTTAGGGGAAGTGTATCTCGGCTCCAACTTCCAGGAGTTGACATTCAGGGTCAGATGTCAGCCATAATAGGGAAGTTGATTTTGATTGACTGAGCTAGTATGGGAAAGATTGAGAGAATCAAGATGAGTGAGTTGGTTCTTATCAATTGATGTAGATGTGTTCTCTTTATTGTCCAAAACAGCTCCCCAGTGGCAGGGGTGACCCCCACTGGATAAGTTAAATAATGTACATGCTGACATGAGTAATAAAAATAGTTAAGTTAAAACTCTCTGTGTTTGAAGTCTTTTATTGCTGAATCAAAACAATCAGTGATCACCGGCTGAGAGAAGATGAAATGAGACCACCCCCAAACAGGAGGATATGAAACACCTAGATGGGTGATCAGTTGGGACTTCTAAGTACTATAAGCTTGAATGTGTGCAGGGGGGGGGGGAATGTATAAGAACTCAGAATGAGAAACTGGAGAGCTGAGCTCAAATTCCAGTCAAGTTTATTACATTCACTTATATGCAAATACCTTTGCGAAAAGTATAAATTCATCTATTCTTTCCCCAGCTATGGGGATAGTAAGACAGACTGGATTCTATAGCCTTGGTTGGCAATAGGTTCCTGACAGAAAGTAATGTCAGCCTACTGTGGGAATTCTTCTGCCAGATCAATCAATAATTGAAAAGAGACATAATTGTTCAAGCATATATCACGCTTAACACCTAAGGAAAGTACATACAGAACAACATAACTCAAAAAAAAAAAGGAGAGAAATATATACTTATATATTTAATCATAATGAAAATGTTATTGCGGACACATGTAGTTTTTTTTTTCTCAATAGAAAACTGTTTAATATAATTTTTAAATTAATTTTTTATCCAACATTATTTGTTATGACTATAAATACTATTTTTCGTGGGTACAGATGTTTGAGTTGACTCACTGTTTAATTTTCTTAAACAGTGAAATTAATAACAAGCTGTCAAAAGTAACATTTTTCTTTAAGTAGGACCTCTTGATCTAGGCCAGTTGATATTAATTTCTCTGTTTAAGAAAATAAAAAAAACAGGGATAATAACTCAAACATCTGTGTCCACTAAAAATAACTTTTATAGTAATAAGAAATAAAATCAGATTAAAAAAGAATCTATTTAACAATAACTGTATTTACATTTCAGGTTTGAAAATGAAGCTAACAGATATAGATTCAAAGAAGTCCTAACAAGAACATTCTATACATAAAGCTTTGCTTTATCATGATGGCCTTCCATGGCCAAGTTAGTCCTGGGTATGACAATAAACTACATCTAGCAGCAAGGCCTCTGATCAGAATATTCAAGGTTTTGAGAAACATGGAACCACCTCTTTGCTCTCTGATTCACCATGACTCAGGGTGGTAGCACCTGTTAGGGTTCCAGCTATGGGCAAATAGTGAATCCCGAAACAAAAACAAAACACGATGAAAGTATAAAAATACATTTTTACAGTATTTATATAAAGTATTTAACATGAATTAAATTTTTCATATAGGTGTAAATGGAAACCAGTTTCAGTTTTTAATTTCTTTTTTTTCCCATCCTGTTCCTTGAATGATTTAAAAAATAAATTTAAAAAAATATCCATAACTAACAGATGTCTTATTACTTAAAATTAAATTTTAAAATTTAAATTAAATTGTTTAAATACAAGGCTTTATTTAGAAAAATATTAAATTTTGGTATTAAATGACCTAACAGGTTGATATTCCATAAAATGAACAAAAACAAAGCCAAAACAAAATCCATGGCCAAGTTGTCAAGGACGTTTCTGCTAATAGAAAAAGAGATACAGGTTCAATTCCCATCAGGAGATACATTTTTCTTTAGTAGGTTTTCTTGATCTACACCAGTTGATATTAATTTTACTGTTTAAGAAAATAAAAAACGGATTTCAACTCCAACACATGTACCTGTGAAAAATAACATTTATAGTAATAAGAAATAGTGTAGTGTGTGTGTGTGTCACATGGTTTGGTTAAAACTAAAATATCAGTTTGCCCTGGGGGAAATAAAAATTTTTGTCACTATGGCATCTTGTTATTGAAGAAAAAAACATACAGTATTTGAGCCCTTTCCTTTCATACAACTTCATACAACACCACCCCATGGGTGCTAAGTTCTCTGGCAAACAAGGTGGGGTAATCCCACATTATTAAATATTTTCAAGTGAAGAAATGTTCATAAATTCAGTAGAAACAAAACGTTATTTGAAAATAAAATGAATAGCAAAGTATTAAAAATTTCTGTACAGAATCCTCACAGAACTTCTCTGTTCAATAATTTATTAAATTTACTACTTTGCTATTCTTGTTTTTTAATACAGTTATCCCTTATTTTTTCAGAGTTCACATTAGTCGACTTCTGTTTTATAAAGTGACTTCATTAGTACTGGTTTCCCTGAAATGATATAAAACATGGAAGCAATTACCATTAATTTAGATGGTAAACATTTTTGACTCTTTCTTTTACTTTTTTTACTAATTTCCACCCAATACAAGGCCAAAGAGCCACTCAAGATAGAGGGTTACTGTGTGGTGTTGTATTAGCATAAGAAATGGCAAGAAGTGAAGATCTTAGAGCTATGCAGGAAAAATAATGGCAAACTCTAGATTTGATCAGGTTAAGATTTAATTAGTGAATAACATTTCAGAATTCAGTTGGAGACTTTAGAAGTATAGTGTGGAAGTAGACTTTAGAAGGAACCAGAAACCTAATCCTAAAAAGGAACCAAGGGATAAACTTTTACTCCTGTTAAAAAAACTGGGCAGGAGAGTGAACTGGATAATAGGCAAACCTATCTACTCCTATTGGGAGAGAAGAGAAAAAATAAATAATTTGTGAATAGAATTTCAGAGTTCAGATGCAGACATTATGAGTATAGAGCTGATGTAGACTTTAGAAGGAACCAGAAACCCAATCATAAACAGGAAACAAGGGACAAACCTCTACTCCTGTTTAAAAGACCAAGGAGAAGTGTGAACTGGACGATGATGATGATGATATGCTATACCATCTCTGGTAATAATGTTAAATTTAAATAAGTACAGTTTTCTATTTCATTCAGGTAAAATATATACCTACAGTCATTTGGTATGAAGACATTAGTCGACTTGGTGTTTCTTCTGCTAAAAGGTGACCGTTTCTCATAAGCCCAACCTACAAGTAATAAACCAAAATATTTCATTATTTACAAAGTCATAAAAGAAAATGCATTTCAGCAGCTTCCCTGACTGTTTTTCTTTCAACACCTTTTTTAATCGACACAACTAGTTAGATTAGTACCCTGCATGAACTAACCTGCCCTTCCAAAGATAGTCATCAAAATACCTTCCTTACCCCACAAAAAACTGATACTTCCTGATGACATTTGGGTCTTGAATTTATTTGTTTGTAGACAACCCAAATGCTGCCATTGTATGGGCTGTTTGGTATCTGGATCATGTTTCATTAACAGTGACAAGTGGTTCCAAAAGATTATTACTAGATCACTGAAAATGCTGAAAAATCATTTTGACACCCATTTGGTTGATTGTCTCTGCATACCCAATATGAATTAAAAATCCAATTCATTGCTTGGATATCTCTAATATCCCAGTAATTCTTTGGTCATGGTTCATCAATTGGTTAAAATTAAGATATAAGCATGATCAATAATTTCAGAAGTTGACAGTGTTGCAGGCTTCCTAGCCCATGTTGCCTTATGGGGCTCAAAATCTCCACACTAGAAGTTGTCATATCATTTCTTCATATTTGAGTATGATGGGCACTTGTCACTCCATGTTTGTATTGTGCACTTAGGAATTTCTTTTAGGGATTTCTTTTTCTGGCACAAGAAATTCTTGATTGTCTCATGACAAAAATTTGAAATTTCTACACTTACTGTTTACATGCTTCAGTTGATGATCTGAAACAAATTCACACATAAGCACAAAGATCTTTTAGACAAAAGATTCCCAAAATATTATTGATATATCAAATACTTTTTGTAAACAATTGTTATCAACACCTGCTTATTTTGTGTTTTATTATCTATTCTGGTAACTGAGTGTATTTACAATCTTGCTGTTCCAAATAAGAGGTTTTTTAAACTGAGTAAAGATTTTTGAAAATAGATACTTGTATATAATATAACCCCTATATTTGCCTTAAATTTTCATTCAAAATTTCTTGTATTAAACACAATGGATACAGTTAGGTAAAGAGAGGTGATGACAGGGTAAATATCTTCAATGTGGGTGTAGCGACTGCTATGTTTTTCCACGTCCACATTTTATTCACCTGTGATTGGCTAATAAATCAATACTGCCTTTCTATAGGGCAATTTAGCCATCGCAGTCATCGCTTTGAATTTTTCGGTTTTGAACTTGCTTTCTTGTTTCGTTAGTACAAATTCAGCAATTGGTCAAATTTTAACCAATCACATATTTTAGTGCAAAATCAACTTTTCCCGCGGTTTTGCTGGGAGCCTACCAGTAGCTTTAAAAGAACTGACTTTTTCGCAAGTCGCCAGTAGAGTCCAGCAAATTTCACCTGTCAACACAAACCTATGACTTTACTCACAACATTTCAAACACACACACAGACACAGAATTTTGTAATACATATATACATATCTCTCTGTGACAGTCAAGTTCAATCAACCAGGACTCTTAATTTTCTCTGACACAACACACTTTCTATTCAATTGTATTCTTGTGTTATCTATTCTAAAAAACAGTCCTTTGTCCTAATATTGATTTCTGAACATTTTTCTCTCACAAGAACTTTCTTTCGGACAATCAAATACAAATCAAAATACGGTAAAAGGGAAGCAACTTCTTTTCCCTTAATCTATACATTGCACACAATTTTATTGTATATTTCATCTATGTATGTTATTTTCAATATATACTTGTTGATTCACATTTGGAGTTTCGTTGTTGTCTTGAATCATTTATTATGCAAAATGTTATACACAGGCCAAAGAAAACACAGCGACATAACAAGGGTCCATAAATATTCATAAGAGATATTATGCAAACACACATCAAAACATGCAAAAAAATTGTTACCATGTTAGCCTGTCTGGCTTCTTCAATGTAATGAGTTGTAATAATAATAGTAATTCTACTTGTCTTAGCAATATGCATCATGTGATCCCAGATCCTAAAAAAGACAGAAAAAAGAAAATACTGAAGAAACAGCTTTTCAAGAAATTTCTGCAGTTAATCTAGCATTATTTGCCTTATTTATTCAGCCAAGTACATTCATTTTGATTGTTGTAACATTTTGACCACTTTACCCTTTGACCTTCTCTAAGAGTTTGTTGTTGTATTTGGTAACCATCTTGGAATTTTAAACAAGATCCTTTCTTTGATCCCCTAAATCACAGATCAACAAAATACATCCCATGGGCCAGATCTGGCCTGCAATGACAGTTCATCTGGCCCAACACCACACTGTGCGACAAATGAACTAAAATATAATTATTTATATAGAATTATGATTAGATTGCAGTTAAACTTACTATATAGTAAAATTAAAATAAATGTAAGTAAAAATGCCAAAATTTGGCCAATCTGATTTTTGCATCTGAAAATAATATAAGTTTTAGGAAAGTCAGTGAACTGGAAAGAAGAAATTTCTCTCATTTTCAGTGTTTCAAAGAGTTTTGCATTGGAATCTGTTGTAGAGTAGTTTTCACAGTGGAGGCTTGTATTTCACTAAGTCGGTCCTAAAAGGGTCCGACGTACAAAATGTTAGGAACTTGAAAAAATAGTTAATGACGCAGCAGTCTAGTTGAGGTGGTTGATACTTTAAGGTCCGACATTAACTGACTCACCAACTCTACTGAGCCCTCTGGCGACTGCTACTACTACTACTTATTATCTGTGGGAGAGTCTATTAACAATAGAATAGGTATGTTTTGGTATAACAGAATCACAGAAAATATCAACCTCGAGTTTCCGAAGAAGATTATTCACGACTTAAATAACCATTTTTAGAGAGATTACTGTGAGTGACATTCTTCTGTTCCAGAATCCGTTTGATTGTAAACTTTATGACATACCAGTTAACTATAGTTGGAACTCATTGATTTGCAAGCGACTTGTTGAAAGAGAAGCACAGAGAAAGAAAACTTCTTAAATTTTTTCACTGCTTACCTAATGATGAGTTTTCAAAGTTGAAGAAATTTGCCTCTTGTATGGCATTAGTGTTTGGAATAACTTATGTCTGTGAGCAAACATTTTCAAAAATGAAGTATGTAAAGTCAGCACATCACAGTTGACTGATGAAAATTTGAAAGCAATTCTCTTGGTTGGATGCAGCAATTCCAAAGCAAATATTGATTATATCTTAAAAGGTAAATGACAGTTTCACAGATCTCACTAACCTTCTTTGCTACTTAGTTTGTGAGATTTGGATATGTGCGCACTGGGTGTGACAACTATTTTGCTGCTAATGTTGCCTTCTTTGATAGCTTTTTGCTAAATAAATATGTTTGTTATCTTTATTTATTGTATATTCAGTGTATTGTATTGAAAAAAAGAAAAAGGCTATCCAGCCCACGTTCATCATCCTCTCAGTTATCCGGCCCTCTGTGAAAAAAGTATGGTGACCTCTGCTCTAGATTGTTCTCCTTCAAACTTTCCATACTTAGGGGAGATAACTCATATTAATTAATATTCACCATTTAATATTCTTAATTACTTATTGTGTCATTTGTCCATTTCTTCCACTGCACCAGGTATATAATTTTAACACAAGCCAAGATTGAACTCACAATTACCAGGGTACCAGACACACTTTAACCAGTGCTTTAATTCACTAGGCCAGAGATGGCAAACCACGAACCAGCAGGTCATGAACTGACCCATCATCAACTTTTTAGTGACCCACGAAGAGTCAGTGAAATGGTGTCATGAAATATGGCTCAGTCAATCCAATTTAGCGATTTTCCAAGTTTTGTTTGTGCCTTGTGTATGCCTAAACACATCTAGCAGATACTCAGCGATTTTATAATGCTTTATCAATGGATTGATTGATTTGTTTTTTATGGCTTATCAACAGGTTATTTAAAGCCAGAAATTTTTTTCTTTAGATTGTAAGAATGTTTTGGAGATACTAATGACTTATTAATACATGTCCTACTAATTAGCCCATAGCTGGGGTATAAGGTGAATTAATATTTTTCTCAAGAGTATTTGAGCTTAAGTGTATATAACAAATCTAATTGGAATTAGCTCTCCAAATTCCAATTCTGAGTTGTTATCCATTACAACCACCTGCACATCCAAGCTTACAGTGCCTGGTATTTCCAAGTGATCGTCTACCTAGGTACTGACCAGGCTCAGTGTTGCTTAACTTTTGGTGATCATACAAGAACTGGTGTTTCAACATGATATGGCCATAAGCCAATAACATTTTATAGAATTGTCTAGGAAGTGTTTGTTTCTCTTTACATTTTATCAGTCATAATCTCATTTATTTTTAGTGTCTGTTCAGATAATTTAAAATTTTTGACTATTCTGAATTCATTTGCGATAATTCCTTTATAGTTAACTCAAGTTAAAACATTAGCAACTAAAATGATAAGTTTCTCATTAAAAAATATCAGTAATTATATAAGGCATGGTAGAGTAATGGAAAGTGACTCAGATTAAGGAATCAGAGTGCTGAGTTTGAATATCCAATCGAATCCTTCACACTCACTTATGCTAATACCTTTGGGAAAGGTATGAATCCTCTTCTTCTCCCACCAGCTATGGGTAAATAGCAGGACAGACTGGGTTCTATAGCCTTGGATGGCAATTGGTTTACTGCAGAAATAAATGGTAACCTACTGCAGGAAAAAATCTGCCTCATCAGTCATGTATCAAAAGATACATGTTCATCTAAGCATGCATCCTGCATGGTACATATCTATATATGAGTGACCCATTTATGTTTATGAAATATTTTAAAGTACCAAAAATGACCCAGCAACTATAAAGGTTTACCATCTCTGCACTAGAACAGGAGTATTAACTGATATAAAATATTCCCTAAGCATAGAAAATGGAATGATAACAATCTACTGCAAGGAATTGAATAAAGGGTTCAGTTCAAAACTCCACCATATTGGGTATGACTTGTCCATGTCCTGGGTAAGACGATAAACTACGTCCAAGGAGGTTTTGAGGAGCATGGAACCACCTCTTAATTGCTGGTGTTCCCAGCTCCACCCTGACCCAGGGTGGTAGCACCTTTTAGGGTCCCAGCTATGGGCAAATAGTTAACCTCCAAACTGGGGTCAAAATACTATGAAAGTGTAAAAATATGTTTTAATACCAGAAATACTTTGTAAAACAAAATTATTACCAGCAATACTTTTTTTGGAAAAATAGATATTACCAGCAATACTTTTTTTGAAGAAAAAATATTACCAAAAATACATTTTTAAAAAAAAAATATTACCAGCAATGAAAAATTTGTCAGCATTAAATAACCCATTGAGGTTGATAAGCCATAAAAACAAACCAATCAAAACTCCAAGAAGGTTACTGCGTACAACAACAGACATTTGAAGAAAGCCAGAGGGTGTAACATACTGTGAGTATGATGATTATGATGAGTATATTAATCCAAATGGAAAGGCATACAATAAAGATAATTCCTCATTTAAAAAGATTCCAGTGTTAATTAACCTAGCATATACAAATAAATGCAAATTATTTTTTGTAATAATGTAGTAAGCTGTCCCAAATTCACATAGGTGTAAATGCAAATAGTGCAAATTCACTCATCCATCTTGTCAGATTCTCCACCTTCGTTCACTGAAACTGACTTTATATGAATTAAGTAACCAGTTATTCCATCAAACATTTTCTTTTATAAATGACAGAATGAGTCTGCTCTGGTTTTTATTTGTAGCATGGAGCCAATGGCATAAGCAGCTAAGTAGATTTCTTCCACACAAATAGTGCTATAATAAATCTAATGAACTCTCTCTCTCTCTCTCTCTCTCTCTCTCTCTCTCTCTCTCTCTCTATAATGTAGGAAATCATGTTTCTTCACAATTTCCTTTTTATTATTACTCTCAACAATATTTGTCTCTTTGTAGTGATATCAGCTGTCAACTGATATCTTGCTAAGGATCAACCTGCAACACATCACAGGAATTGCATTGACAATTATCTGTCTTGGCAAAGAAGGTCAGCTTAATGGAGTGGACCTTCCAAGAACCAGGTCAAATGATCCTCACAAAAAAGGTCACTGAGTGAAGTTAGTCCTGAATTCTTGATAAATGACTTTTTTAGACAAAGCTGACAAGACAAAGAATAATGTTCTCTATAAGACTGTGGTTACTAGCAGTTGAAAACAGAGACACAGAGCAGAAAGAGAGGGACAAGATACCACTCATGTGCTATGTAAAAGGAAGACATACCCATTAGATGGGTCAACTCCTCAACTACCATTACCTATGCCTCACTCATCTATATAAGGTTATAACCAAATAAAATTTACCTACTGCTATAATCATCTCATGTTTTTATTTTGTGGGTGACGATCTGGCCAAAGAGTTACTTCTAAAGCCATAAGAGTTTGACTGGAAGAAGCTGAACTCTGAGAATGAACCTGGTGTCTGGTCTGAGCTGCAATGTTACATCTTTAGAACACCTATTTATCTTTGCGGTAATTGGTCTCCAATCCATTTTCTGAAATTTACTTGCTGCTTTCCTCTGCTTCTTTTGTGTTTTATGCCCATTGTCTGTGCCAAATTTTTCCAAGCCTTTTTTCCTCATTATGTGCCCTAAATATTTCAATTGTCTCTTTCCATTTATTAGCAACAGCTTTATAGTTTCTATTCTCTTTAAGAGTTCATTTGTTACATGCCAAACAAATAGGTGCTTTCTTTTTCATGAGCTTTTTCTTCTTCAGGACATTGGCAATCATGGCTCTCCACAATTTACTCTCCTTTGTAGCTCTTCATAAATGTTGTCTTTTTGTTATCTCTCCTAAACCCTGTCCCACCATCCATTTACTCACACTCACCATGTAGGTTATGCATTGTGTCCCTCTGTTCCTCTTGCATTCAATCTGAGTATCAAATTTTCTAAGCCCTCTTTTCTCATTATATGCCCTAGATATTTCAACTATCTCTTCCTCATGTTAAGTATAAGTGTCCATTTTGTGTCTATTTTCTCTAAAACTTTGTCATTGCTCATATGATCCATTCATGGTATTCTTACCATCCTTATGTGGGACCACATTTCTGTTGCTTCAAGTCTCTTCTTCATCTGTGAAGAGATTGTTCAGCATTCTGTGCCATACAGGAGAACTGATATTATATAACAGTTTAGTTTTCTTTTATTTGTTTCTCAAAAAAATGTTCTGATTCTTAATACTTTCTTAAATTGATAAAAAAAAATGAAGTTCACTGAAGGAATAACAATAGAAACAACTATATGCAGAAAGTGTTCTTAGCTTATTGAGAGAAACACTTATAAAAGTGTTTTTTTGACATTAACTTAATTGAACAACATTTTTTACTGTTTTTTGTGATGTCAACGAACACTCATTTGACACTTTTATGATGTCAATAAATACTCGTTGTCACTTTTGTAATGCTCATTGTAGTAGAGACTTTATAATTGCAGATACAACTATAGTACACTGTCGAACAATGCTGGTGTCAGACACCTTCAAATAACACTCACAGTAAAAGTACTTGCCCAATAATACTTGCTCAAATAGTAACCACCGTATTGATCTGAATAGAGAATAGTGTAAAGAAGAGAATAGAGAATATTGGTCTGTATAGTAATAGAGGATACACTAGACATAGCGATCATTTAGATGTCATGTGACTTCCTATATATGCGTTTCCTCTATGGTCATGTGGTCTACTTAATTCAATAATGAGATTGCCTGTGTTTACTCACTGGCGATCTATGTTCAAACTCAAGTGTCAGCAGAGACATTTTATTTCTATATAATGCTGTTTTATTCCAAAAGCTTATGCCAATATTTCATTGAACTTCATAATTCCATTCTACTGGAACTTTAACTTTCTCAGCCAAAGCCTGTCATCCCCGCCTTTTGCATTCTTCCATAGAATTGAAATTTTCTTCAAGAAAATTTCAGTAAACTGAAGGTAAATATAGAAATTGAGTGAAAACATCCCAGCAAAGCTAGGGTGTTTTTTTGTCTAATCCCCAAAAGCATTCAGTCTTACATTTTCCTGTTTTTTCACCTAAATTTCACCCAATACGAGGCCCAAAATGGTAATGCTGGATTAGGTGTATGATATGGATGAAAGAGAAGGTGGTAAGATTGATTGATTGATTTGTTTTTATGGCTTTAAATAACCTTTTGCAGGTTATTTAAAGTCAAAAAATATTTTTAGATTTTAAGAATTATTTGGAGATAATAATGATTTACTGATAAAGGTCCTACTAATTAACCCATAGCTGGAGGGAGAAAATGTGGATTCATACCTTTGCCAAGGGTACTTGCATCTAAGTGAATATAACAAACCAGACTGGAATTAAAAACAAAAACTGCCAAAGAGCAGATAAACCTGAAGTCAATGGTCAGGGTGGAGGGTTCCCTTGATGGCACCAACAACCATGTGTTCATGACCAAGGCCAGCATTCAAGTTGGAAAACATCAACAGTGATTTGACATAGATGGCTGCCCAAGACAGGTTATGCATGAATGAATACTGCTCTAGCTTTCTACCCAGATATGTGGTGTAAACTGGTCAGGTGCTCAGTTGTTTAGTGACTCTATGACCACACCTAGACATGGGACTGATGATGATGATCATCATCATCATCATCATTCAAAGCATGCATACTACAGTTGAAAGAACCTAACGGAATGTAAAATCTTCAATGTAGTCTTCTTGGATTTTCCTGATGTTTTCAATACGAATTGTACGCAACCAAAATATGTCCCTTTTTCATAGAGTTTCATGCCTTAATCGTTAGTGAAGAAACTACAGCAAGAAAAAATGGCCACAATTAACATGCATTTATAGCAGTGGGAAGTGAAAGTAGCCAACAAGTGTTCAGTAGTCTCTCTCAGCTACCCAGGCAATTTACTTCGCTATACTTAAGCTGAGAGCATGACAGATTTCCTCAATTTGTTTGTAGTCTTTCTCAAGTAGAAAGCATGCTCAAGTTACAATTTGGGAAATTGCAACTCATGTGTTTTGTTGTGACTGAAAGTTCAATTGTGCCAGTTTGAGGCTTGTGTATACAGTGATTTGCGCAAACTTTTAAAAGCATAAACATATTACACATGCTGCCTTCAACATTGTATACAAGTTGGAAAAGTTTGATTATTCCCCCCCCCTCAAAAAAAATATGAAAATTGGCAAAATTTACATAACCTGAAATACTATAAAATTAAAGCTCTTTAAAGTTATTGGTCTACTGAGTAAAACATATTTACACTATTATTTCCACATGACATACCTTTCTTGGATATCTCACTGATACTGACATATCCAAAAAAGGCATTGCACATGGAATTAGAACAATCTATCCCCATGGATTAAATAAAGGTTTCGGTTTGAAATTCCGACATAAATCACCTGAAGAAGGTCAAAGCATACAGCGGCTGAAATATCATGAATATAGCAATAAAGATGAGGACAACACTCCAAACAATGTAAATAGTGTAAATAGTTACAATCCATCATCTCAGAAATATAGACAGACAGAGTAAAATGTCTAAATAACCTCTCATCTTAATAAATCTTAAGACATTACCTTTCTCGAAGAAGTGGATCAACTCCAACAGTTGGTTCATCGAGAATCAAAAGCTCAGGTTCTTGAAGCAAAGCTGCAGCAAATGAGACTCTCCTTTTCTGACCTCCACTACAAAGAAATATCAGAGAAATGTTGCAATTATCAATTATAAATGTGTACATTTCCAGAACACAAGACTAGATGAATATTGAAGGGAAAAAAATTATTAAAAGGACAAAACTAACCTGGCCGTGCATCTTGAAATGGACCTCCAATCAGTTGTTAATTGGGGCAAGAATTGGCTGGTCAACTTTAACACCTCAAAAACTAAAATACTCTCTATTAATCACCATAGAGATCCTTCCCTGCCCCCCCATTAGAATGTCTGATAGTCAACTTCTTGAGAGCAACTCTCTGCGTCTGCTCGGTCTCACGTTAACTGCTGACCTGAGATGGAACAAAAACATTGAGTCAATTGCTTCTTCCACTGCAAGGAAAGTTGGCTCTCTGTGCCGCGCCAGGAAATTTTTCTCCCCGGAATCGATACTTCGAATATACAAATCAACAATTCGCCCTTGCATGGAGTATTGCTGCCATATATGGTCTGGGGCAACTTCTGTTTACCTCGGAGTTCTTGACAAGATCCAGAGACGGATATGTAATATAATTGGCCCTGATCTGGCGTCTCGTCTACAGTCACTCTCTCACAGATGCGTCGTCGCCTCTCTCTGTCTTTTCTACAAATACTTTCATGGTAATTGCTCCGATGAGCTGCTTTCACTGGTTTCCAGACTCCATGAATTCAAGCGCCCTACAAGGCTGGCATCCCACTCCCACCCTTACACTGTAGAAACTTTTAAATGTAGCCGTCTCTTCTACTCCAATAGCTTCATACCTCGCACCTCTCACCTGTGGAACACCCTTCCCAATTACTGTTTCCCTGAGAGCTATAATCTCCAACTATTCAAATGTAATGTCAATCAACATCTCCAGTTACCTTGATCTATCCACTATCCCTCTCCTCATCCTTTCTTCTATCACTCCTATCTGCTCTTGCTCCAAATCTTCTGCAACCCCCTGCATCCTAGTGGCTTCACGCCTTGCTCGGGGTGTAATACTTAAAAAAAACGAAAAAAACTTGTGATTTTCAAAATGTAACATTTTCCATCCATCCAGTTTGACCATAGTCAGGATCATTGAGCCAATGTGAACAATCCTTTCTTTAGCTGTATAGTATGTGCTACGCCAGGGCTACATACAGTTTTTGAATTCAGAGTTACTTTCTCCAAGGCCAGTTGTCACCCAAGGCTATAGAACACAGGCTGTCCTGCTATTTACCCATGGCAGGAGGGGAAAGAAGAGGATTCATACTTTTCCCCAAGGGTATTAGCATGTAAGTGAATGTAATGGATTAGACTGAAATTCAAACTTGGTTTTCCAATTCCTCAATCTGAGCTGCTACCCATTACTCCTCTGTGCCACATGTCATACTTAGGATTTGTAAGGGAACTAGAATACTTTCTAAGCATGAGCTTCTTTTTAGTTGTTTAGTTAAAGTATGTATTCAAGAGGAGACTAGAAATGATATGATTTTGAAATGGATAAGAGGATTTGAACTAAACTGATTAATATCAGCTATGAAACCTTTTGACCAGTTGACACCAGATCCTTGTGTTTCTTGAGACAGAAATAGGTGTGAAAATGAGCCAGCAAAAAATGAAACCATTAAAGATCAAAACTTGGTTGGTGAAGTTAGATTAAATTTCAGAAACAAAAGTATTTTATGATTAATTGATTTGTTTTCCATGATTTATCAATCTTTTGCCACTTATTTAAAGCCAGTAAATATTTTTAGATTGCAAGAATTTTTTTTAGATAATAATGATTTAGTGATACAAGTCCTACTAATTAACCCATAGCTGGAGGGAGAAGCACATAAGTGAATATAACAAACCAGACTGAAATTAGAACTCAGCTCTCTAATTTCCTATTGCCAGCCATTATCCATTATGCTAACTGCACATCCAAGTCTACAGTATGTGGTATTTCTAAGCAGTCACCAATCTAGGTACTGACCAAGTTCAACATACCTTTCCCAGTGGTGTTTGTGCATAAGTGAATATCATGAATCCAACTAGAATTGGAACTTGTCTCTCTGATTAACAATTCTGAGCCATTATCCATTACACCACCTGCACATCCAAGCTTGCAGCACCTGGTATTTCCTTCACAAAAAGAGTCACACAACAAGGCAATGTAAAAAAGATTATTGACATTTACCAATAAAACATCTTTTGATGGAATCATGCAAACTCTCAGGTGAATATGAAAGACACATGAAAAGCCAAGTTGAAATATGCTAACATGTCACTCAGGGAAAAACTTTTACAGAAGTTAAATACTGCAAGGGAAAATGTAATTCAATACCAAAAGTCTACAAGTAATAAATACAATGAGTCTACACAATGTAATGAAAAGAACAGTTTCTTTTATACAAAATTCTTTTCTGTAATCAAGTCTCTTGCTTAAAGTTATACAATATTAAAACACAGTTCATTTTAAATAAAACATTTCTTTAAAAGGTAAAGAAAGTGAAAGAACAACCTATAAGTGTTATACTGGAACATACCTATTCTATTATTAATAGGCTCTCCCACCGATAATAAGTAGTAGTAGTAGCAATCGCCAGGGGGCTCAGAGAGTTGGTGAGTCAGTCAATATCGGACATTAAAGTATCAACCACCACAACTAGATTGCTGCGTCATAACAAGTTCCTAACGTTTTGTATGTCGAACCTTTTTAGGACCGAGTTAGTGAAATACAAGCCTCCACTGTGAAACTACTCTATAACAATAAGTGCGTGTGAATGTGTGCATCATTGAAAATAAAGTTCATATTGTATTCATGTTGATAATTTTCTTTATTTATTATAAGAGTTACTAAGAAGCAAAACAACCTACTATATCACCCTTAATATAAACAGTGCTATATACACAATAATCACAAGGATTATACATTTTTAAAGCATATATACACAAAGATCATTATAAAGAAAAACAGATTTTATCATTTTTTTCTTAAATATTAAAACAAGTCACAAGAGCATTAAAAGGAATTTTGTAATAGTAGAAAATAAAATAATCAAAGTTCACACAGTAACGCAAACAATAATAATAATAATAATAATAAATGAAAAGAACTAACCTCAAAGTGCTGATTAACTGTTTCTTATTTGGCAAACTGAGAAATTCAAGAAGAAAAGCCATCCTCTCTCTGACTTTTGTAAAAGACATTCCATGAAGGATGCCAAAATACATTAATGTCTCACTTATTGTAAATTCATTGTAAAGCGCAATTTCCTAATAACAAAAAAAAAAAAAAATCAGAAAAATGTTTTGGCAAATCTGAATAAAGGGAAATTATAGAATAACAAAACCAAAACATAATATCTCAATACAACACAAAACCAAGTGAGGGGAAGTATGAACACTTGCCTATCTAGAAAATAAACATTCAAAATCTTGTTTTTTTGTTTTTTGGGTTTTTTTTTAACTAGGCTTAAACACCAACCGCTGACATTGGACAGAAGTTGAATACATACGAGGGTTGGCTGAAAAGTTCATAGGCTGACCAATATACTCTCATGGAATGTGACCAAATGAGGTTTATTGTTCAACATAGTCCACACACTTCTTCCGTCAGCATTGCCGTGTTTGATCCCCATTGGGGAAGCACTACTCAACCTGTTGGTCAAAAAACTCATCAACAGCAGATGACATCATCATCATTACAATACTGGTTCCCAGCCAAGTGATTTTTTCATGTTGGAGAACAGATGATAGACAGATAGGGGCAAATCAGGAGATTGGGAAGGGTGATCAACCAATTAAAAGCCACAGCCACACACAGAAGCCATTGAAACCAATGACTTGTGTGCTGGAGCATTGACCCAATGAAATAAGACACTTTTTCTCAGTTTTCTTGGGCATCTGGTCTTGATAGCCTTTCATAACTGCCTCAGCAAGTTGGCATAGTACTCTCCATATGGTGTGGCCCTTTTAAAGATAAACATAATGTGTTTTGCATCCAAAAAATTGAGGCCATTACCTTCCCTGCAGATGAAACAACCTTGGCTTTCTTTGGAGCATGTGAGGAGGGGTGTTTCCATTGCATGGATTGCCTCTTTGGCTCAAAATGATGAACTCAACACTCATCCTGGGTTATAAAACGTTCAAGAAATTCAGCTGGATTTGCCTCAAACAATGTCAGATTTTTCCCACGATGTGCACTTTTGATCAGGTGTCAGAAGACATGTCACCCACCGAGCAGAAATCTTCATCATGCCAAGTCTATTCCACAGAATGTTCTCAACTCACTCATGGGATATGCTAATAATATTGGCTATTTGATTTATAGTCAATAGCCTGCCATCCATCACCATGTGGTGAACACAATCAACGTATTCCTCAGTGGTGGTAGTTGTAGGATGTCCAGAACTTGGGTCATCTTCAAGACTCTCCCTCCTAAACTCAACTGCCCACTTTTGCACTATTGGTAAAACTGGAGTGTCATCCCCTAATGATGTCCTTGGGAGATAAACCCTTTTTCTGGAGGTACTTGATAACACCACTATGCCAAATTTCATTCATTTTCAAGAGAAGTCACTACTAGTTACTTTTGAAGTCTTCTTTGAACAGTCAGATATCAGTTTACCTGGAAATAAACAGTGCAGTTGTTAATAAGAAGAGATGAAAATAATGCATGCAAGATTTCAAAGCTCTAGCATCACTCCTTCATAGTCAGCCTATGAACACTTCAAGTTACCCTTGTAGCTACCATACATGATGGCAGATAAGACCAGGGTGAGATTACAATCTTTTGGAGATCCTGAGCTAATAAAATTATAAGAACCCTCTCAGACAGGGTCACCCTCTAACTTGTCTGCACACATCTTGAATATTTTCTTTTTTTTTTTTACATATTTTAGCAGCATTTACATAGTTTGAAGTAAAGTTATTACAAATTCTTTAAATAAACTTTTGTTTGTCAATAAAAATATTATTTAAGAAATACCATTATTTTACTATTTATTGCAAACTAAGTGTTAGCATGTATTTCAACACAATCATAGTAAAAAAAATTTAAAAAAAAGATTTTTTTATAACCAGCATTATAGAAATAAAACAATCAAAATAAGTTTTGTCATATTGATTGCATTTCAATTCATAAAACTATTTAAAAGTTATAACATTTAGAAAATTAAAATTGCTGCTTTATAAAAATGTTTAAGATTTAAACATCCTGAACTAAAATTAAACATGCTATCTACTTGAAACACAATGATGCAAACTAAAGCATTCATTTCCTTGCTTTGCTTCCTGCAAGGTCAAATAAATTTTATGAGTTTGCCATATTGATGTAATTTCAGTTTATGAAGCTATTTAAAAGTTATAACATCTAGAAAATTAAAATTTTATAAAAGCTTAAAGGGCCCATGTGGTATCCCTGCTTTTAAAAACAGAACATTAAAATAAATATAGGTTTTCATTGACAATGGTTTACAAAACCTGGGACAGACAATTTAAATGGATTCTTATTCCTGATATTAGACAACTTGATAGAAATGAGGAAAAATTAAAACAATCTTAAACAAAGAACATTTATTTTCAATCAATTACAGAAAAACTAGTACCCAAATGCACTTCACACACACACACACATGTATGTGTGTGTAAAAATTCAGATATAACTCAAAATATAGCTATAAAAAGGCAATATGAATAAAGACAAAAGGAAAACTTTTCTTTGCTGGCATGATTCATTCTTTGATAAACTTTACCAAGGCAAATGACACACACACACACATATAAATATATATATATATTTATATATATATATTGATGTAATGAATATGCATACACCTGGGTTCCCCCTCACAGTAATATGATTGGCTGGTGTCAGCCATAAATACAGACTGATGCCTATTGACAACGCCTATTGACAACGCCTATTGACTACATCTATTGTCTTCGCCTATTGCCTATGCCTATGCCTATTCCCTACCACTACATCGAGGACCAGTCCATTATGGTTACCTGCTAGTCTGTCCTGCTCGGTTACAGTAGTCCAAAACCACTTTGCTACTTTGAACAAATATATCCCTTTTCCGGGACATATCATTTATATATATATATATATATATATATGTGTGTGTGTGTGTGTGTGTGTGTGTGTGTGTGTGTGCGTATGTCTGTGTGTATAAAGAATTGGAACTCAGCTTTCCAATTAACAATACACAACACACACATTCATGCCTACAACACCTGATATTCTCAAGTAGTTACTCATCTTGGTACTGAACAGGTTCAACATTGCTTAACTTCACTGATCATATGGGAACCAATATTTCAACATGATATGGGTGTGAGCCAGCACCAATTTGAATAAATTCGTCTATAATAATAATTTCTCATTTAAAAAATAGTTGAAATGTAACTATAACAATCAATATGAAGATACCAGTTTGAATATAACAGTTTGTCATAATGTTAATTTCTCATTCGAGAAATAGTTTAAATGTTACAATTATAACAACTAAGATGAGGATACCAGTTTGAATAAATCAGTGTATAATGATGATAATTTATCATTTGAGAAATAGCTGAAATATGTTTATAACAACCAAGATGAGAATACACATGTCATATGATCCATCTCCCCCATTAATAGATCTGTCTTGAATGCATATATTCAGGAGAACTCTGCTGATATGCAGTGTTCATTAAAGTTCTGTTAGTTGACCTCTCTACCTCCAGGCAGAGAGGAACTCAGACAAATCTATACCTATGGGCAGAGTGTCATCTGGGGAGGTAGACAGCCACCCAACCCTGTGTATACATGGAATTTTTGCCTGAACATAAGTGTTCAGAAAGCCCAACATTAAAAACTGGCCTTGTGCCACATTCTGCCTTGTGGTGAGGACTTGGGTAAATACTGAATTCATTAAAGCTTTCTGTTAAGAAAATTCGTATTGTCTCAAACAATTCTACTACAATTTAATGAACTCTCATTGTTAACTATTTTGATAATGGCTAATTTACTCTGTCCAGAGAAACTTACTATTGACCCAAATGCATCTGATGCCGAAATGGAATATTGTCACTGGAGAATAACTTTCATGAACTTCTTGAGTACATACTGCAACTAAAGTTCTAATAAGCTGCACTATCTCACCAGAAGCTTACAAGTATTTCATGGATGCATCCTCCTATGAAGAGGCTTTAACAATACTGGATAGGATCTACATTACAAAGAAAAATGAAATGGTCTCTAGGCACTGGCTGCAAGGCGTCAACTGCCTTCCATAAACTGATTAAGGAATGTTCATTTTCTTCAGTATCAGCAGAACAATATCAAGCCAAATTAATATGAGATGCCTTTGTTGGGGATTAGTGAATGTATTTGGTTAAATCAGAAGGAATTTTTAGGTGGCATGTTCATTAACATTCATCCACAACAAATAATAAATGAATATTTAGAACAGGTCATGCAAAGCAGAGTTAAAAACATAGACAAGTAAAATACACAACAATACGGTAATTTATATACAATTTAAATATATACAAATGAGTTATGAATTGGTGGTTTGTTGTATATTGATGTAATAAGACATGTAGTTTATTGTTGAGTATGTTTGAATTAAACAGTTTACTGTTCAACGTACAAAAGTGTTCAATTTTACAGTTCAAATGTTAGTGTGTATATATGAGTGTTATGTAAAATATTCTTAAGTTGTACAAAGTTGCGTACCTTGAACTGTTAATTGTTATAAGTTTTGTTTGTTACTGTTACTAATATGTAGTGAATATATATTTCACTTTCTCAAGTAAAGTAAATGAATTTTTGAGAAGTTTGTTTAAAAGAGAGATTGAGTATGCCAAAAGATTGTTGAGTCAGTGGTTAATTCGCGTGGGAAAGTCAAAGTTTAAACTGGCGTGAAATTGGTTGGCATCTCTCTGAGTGTGGAATCCTGACTGGTAAGTTGGTTCAAATTTCTTTCTTTTATAGGTTCTGGAAAGGAAAAATAGGCTCAAACACATTTGAGCGCCAAAGGCATTTTTCACGTGCATACTTAGTTTTTTAAGGCTGTTAGCCAATGAGAAACTGAGTTTGTCAGAACTAGTGTTTTGATTGAATAACAGGTATGTGGGTGTAAGAATGGACTGTTCTGCAAAGGGGTGAAAAGGTAACGTGGATTATTCCACACCTTCATAAACAGCCTACAGTCCACTGATATCCAACAAAGAATACTTGAAAACAGCAGCTTAACATTACAGCAGGCCTATGACCAGGCAACAGTACTAGATTTAACCAGATGCTTAAGTGGATTTCAGTGCTATCTTCTAGTGAGGTCCTCATTTACAAAATGAGAAACAAAATAAAAGTATATTTTCTTTTGTTTTAAGTATGTCCTTCGATCGTATCTTCTTCGTACTCACAAAATGGGGAAAACAAGATAAGAGTATATTTTCTCTTGTTTTCAGTATGTCCTTCAATCTATCTCCTACCTTCTTCATCTTTGTGCTCATTTTCAATTTAATTTAAGCCTTTTTTTCTTTCTTCAAATTATTAACATTCTTACATTGTCACACAAAGTGGAATTAACAATACTGGACAGGATCTAGATTAAAAGTAAAAATGAAATGCTCTCTAGACCCTTACTAGGTGTCAACTGCCTCCAGATTCCATTGATTGATTTTATGAAGCTTTATTAAAACTAAGTAAGGACTGTTCATTTTCTTCAATGCCAGCAGAAAATATTGAGCTGAATAGATACAAGATTCCTTCATAAATGGATTAAATCCATGGATATCCGACAAAGAATACTTGAAAACAGCAACTTAACATTACGGCAAGCCTATGACTAGGTAAGAGTACTAGATTTAACAGAACAAAATGCTAAAAATTATGTTACAGCTGCAGTAATATCAGAGAACTCTCCACCTATTTTGGCCCTCCCATCATATGAAACATTAGGCTCTCAGAAAATATCAGCATTAACTAAATGTACATTTTTTTTTTCTGTTTGAGCAAGAGACACATAAGGTCATTATGTCCCACTAGAAGGGACAAATTTTATACCTGCAGAAAGCATGAACATTGGGCTAAAGGAAAATGAAAAATGAGAGCGAAACATTATCTTGTTTGGCATCATTGGATACACAGCTAATGAACAGCCACTAAAAGCACTGATTGACACAGGGAGCACAGAAAACTGTCTTAATGCAAGCATTGCGAAAAAAAATTCATGGAAAATTTACCCATGCCTAAACAAAGTGGCGATGGGTAGCTCATCTCTTTCCATAAAAATACTTGGATACTGTTTAGTTAATCTAGGAGTAAAAGGTACTTTATACCAAGGAATAAGATGTCTACTAATGAAAGATCTATGCTATGACCTAATATTAGGGCATTTCTTATGCCAACATTCATTAGTAAAAATACACTTTGGAAGCTCTAAGTCACCCTTTAAAGTCTGCTGCCTAGCAGTTATGAGAATGCCATACCCAGCTTTCTTCAACAATTTAACACCAGATTGTAAACTAGTATCTACTAAATCTAGGCAACACACAGAGGAGGATAAATTATTTATTTAAACCAAGGTTACTTGTATGTTGAAGGAAGGTATAATCGAACCAAGCCATTCGCTGTGATGAGCACAAGCTTTTGTAGTCTCCTCTGAGAAGAGAAAAAAACAAATGGTAATCAACTATTCCCAAACTATAAAATGGTTTACTTTGCTGGATGCCTACTCTCTGCCAAGAATAGATGATAAGATAGAGAAATAGCCAAAAACAGCTTATTTAGTACTCTGGACTACCATAAAATGCTTACCATAAGGTTCAGCAATAAATCCTATATGGCCTCCAAGGCCAGTGGTAAACTCTATCAATTTTGCAGAATACCGTTTAGCATAACTAATGGGGTAGCTAGTGATAGAGCAGATGATAACAAAAGAGAATCTGCAAGACACCTATGCCTACATTGATTTGCGGAAAAAATTGAGTGGAACATGACAGAAATCTGAAATCATTCATGACGTCTATGAAAAAGTACCAGCTTACGCTTAATCAAGACAAATGTTATTTTAGACATAAAAATATAAAATTATTTAGATACATAATAAATAAAAACAATATAAAACCCAGTCCAGAATGTCTGAATCCATTACTCAGCCTACCAGTCCCAAATGATTTACATGCTCTGCACAATTGCATTAAGAATTTTTGTACACTATGCCCATTGAATATCATCTTTTTCCTACAAAATCCACCCTCTAACAACAGTATCAAACTTCCTGTTATCTCTGATAGCAGAGAAAGCATTTAATGCATTATAGAAGAGCATAGCATAAACAGCCATTACTACACCTGATCATACATTACTGTTTGTAGTAGACAGAGATGTCTCAAAATGCACCATAGCCACCTTTTTAAAACAGTCAGGGACGCCCATGGCCATTTTCTCCAGAACCCTGTCTAAATCAAAATATAAGCATTCTGCAGTAGGGAAAGAAGCCTATGCTATTGTTGAATCTTTGAGAAAATGGAGGCATTATTTAATCAGGCAAAATTTTAAACTAATTACAGACCAAAAATCAGTCTCATTCATGTTTAACCTGAAAATGACAAGCAAAATTAAAAATGAGAATATCGCCAGGTGGAGGATGGAATTTTCATGTTACTTGTTTGACATAATGTACCACCCCAGGAAAGAAAACGCAGCCATGGATGCCTTCTCTCATGTATGTAGCGCGACTGCTTGCAAAGAAGAGTTAAAGAAACTATATAGAGATCTGTGCCACCCAGGTTTTACATGCATAGTCCATATGATGAAAATCAAAAACCTTCCCTACTCAGTAGAGGATGTGAAAGAAATTACCAACTCATGCTAGACTTGCACTGAAAATAAACTTAGGTTTTACTGTCCTAACACCAGCAAGATCATAAAAGCCACTCAACACTATGAAAGAATTCCATTGAATTTTAAAGTTCAACTTCCATCAAAAACTCATAACAAACATATGCAGACAATAATTGACAAATATTCACGTTTTCCTTTCATGGATACCCTGCCCCAATGTACCCTCTACAGCAGTCATACAAGCACTTTACTCAGTTTTTGCCATTTTCAGGCTACACACATATATTCATTTGGACAGAGGGGCTTCATTTATATCCAAACACATATGACGATTCCTACAAGACCAAAGAGTAGCAGTAAGTAGAACAACCCCATATACCCCTCACGATAATGGTCAGTGCAATAGGGTATAATGGAATAATATGTAAAACTGTTCAACTAGCAGCTGCTGATAAATGGTGTAGCTTTCGAGAATTGGGAACAATTACTCCAAGAGGTTCTGCATGCAATTAGAATGCTGCTATACACAGCCACTAATGCAACACCCCATGAACGATTCCTCCAATTTCCTAGAAGAAGTTTGACTGGAGTGACCCTACCATACTTGCTCTTGTAACTGGGAGTGATATTACTAAAAAGACACAACTGAATAAAAACAAACCACTGGCAAATCAAGTGGAGCTTCTGCATGCCATCTCCCAGTATGCGCATGTCTGTTACGAGTGAGAGCTGTCCTCTGGGCACTTCAACTGAAGAAACAGAATCATGGTCTCCCGTTGAAGATTACAAGGAACCCTTGGGCTCTGAACCCTCGAGTGGTGATGAAAAGATTTCATAGAAGATAGCCCACCCACCTGCCAATACTTCAGAGGATAAGCAAACCACTCGCAGGAGAGTACAAAAATGCAACAAGATTAAATCCAATTCTAGCAAGAAATAGGAAGACCCTCATCATGCTCCTGGCAATCAGACACGGTCTTGCAGACAGCAAAGGATGTCTGCTCAATTCAAGGACTTTTTCCCTCTGTAAGAATAAAACAGGGGAGAATGTGGTATGATCCATCTCTCCCATTGATGTATCTGTCCTGAACATGTATATTCAGGAGAACTCTGCTGATATGCAAAGTTCATTAAAGCTTACTGTCAAGCAAATTCATATTACCTAAACAATTCTACTACAACACGTTCAAATAAATCAGTGTATATTAACTTCAAAAGACAAGGGTGGTAGGAGGATGATAACTTAAATACTAAATGGCCAGACAACCATATACTAAATATAAATGTGATCTTTTTTATATCTAATATGGGGTATTTTAACCCTTTAGCATTCAACACACTCAAACCTGCCCTGTAAATGTTGGCTCTCAAAGTCTTGCAGTTTGTTGTCAAGTATCACTGTTTACATGACTCCCTGCATTATTTTTTATTTTTTATTTTTTTTTTAAGCATTTCACCCCAAGCAAGGCTGGAAGCCACTAGGACGCAAGGGGTTAGAGAAAATTTAGAGCAAGATCAGATAGGAGTGATAGAAGAAAGAATGAGGGTATTGGATAGATCAAGGCAACTGGAGATGTTGATTGACATTACACTTGAATAGCTGGAGATTATAGCTCACAGGGAAACAGGAATAGGGAAGGGAGTTCCACAGGCGAGAGGTGTGAGACATGAAGCTAGTGGAGTAGAAGAGATGGCTACATTTAGGAGTTTCGACAGTGAAAGGGTGAGAGTGGGATGCCAGCCTCGTATGGCGCTTGAACTCATGACGTCTGGGAACCAGCGAATGCAGCTCCTCGGAGCAATTTCCATGAAAGTATTTGTAGAACAGACAGAGGGAGGCGACTGTGCATCTGTGAAAAAGTGACTGTAGACGAGACGCTAGAGCAGGGCCAACTACATTGCATATCTGGTGATGATGTCATCATAATTTATGGCAGAGTATATATAGAGTGGCTTACAGCAGTTTGAACACTAAGAGTCAGTATTTATGGGGAAAGTTTGGGCAGGTTGAATGCTAAAGGCTTAAAACAGGAGCTCTCTAGAGAAAGAGACAAGAAAATATGCAATTTATGTTGTGAGAACAAGATAACCTTACCTGAGGCATATAACCAACTTTGCATCCTGGGACTTCATGACCTGGACTACCAGGTGGGGCACCCAAGCACATCACTGTGCCTCCATCAACTTTCAACTTCCCTACCACGCATTTGAGGAGGGTGGTCTTACCACAACCACTTGGACCTAGAAGACCATAACTGTTTTTTTTTTAAGAAAAAAACAAAATATTAAATAAAATAATATCAAAACAACCAATGTTTTTTAATCAGTTTCACCCCATAAAAGGCAGTAAAGACACTAGGGGTTATTTGGTGTAGAAGAATTAGGAACAGAAACATTAATAATGAACAAGAAGAGGAAAGAGTAATCAGGAGGACAGTAAATAGTGATTGACATTGCATTTAAATTTTTGCATATTATAATTGGCTGGAAAGCATGAAGCCAAAAGGAAGTTCCACAAGCAAGAAGTGCTAGAAATGAAACTGTTAGCATAGAATTTATGGTTACATCTAGCCAGCTCAACTAAATTGATGAGATCTTATTGCCAGTCTAGTACTGTACTTAAATTAAAAAAGTCTAGGTACCATAATGAAGAGCTCATCTGAACAATTACCATGAAAGTATTTATAGAAAAAAAGACAGGGAGGCAACCTTAAGTTAACTAATTTTTAAAGTACTTAGAATAACATTTTGACCCATACCTGAGGATAATAGGATGTGCTGAAAGTTAAATAAATGAAAACATATATTTTTGTTGTGGACACTGATAAATATTAAATAAAACAAAGAGGTGGATGTATAGAAAAGGATGAAACAAAAAAATAACCATTGGCAGGTGTGGTAAGAAGGAACCTTGAGTTTTCCACACTTTTTTTATAATAAAAATGGGTTTCATATTCACTGGGTTGATTATCATTTCTTGTAATATTTCCAGCTATGTATACAAGAGCCATTTTTATTTCATCAGAAAGAGCTGGTTCTAAATTTTCCAGATTGCCAAATATTTCTGAACCTTCTTCACAAAGGTTATAGTCACAAGATGTATATATATATATATATATATATATATATATATATATATTAAAATAAAGAGAAAGAACAGCAAGATTTATAATCTAGTGTTCTTATTAATTATTTTTTTTTAAAAAACAATGCTCAATACAATTCTGCAGTGCATAAATATTATAAATTTATGTTTAAAAAGATGGTCCCATCACTACACAAGAATTACCATTTTTACAAAAAAAAGAAACTATAAACCTCAAATTTAATTATAGAATTAAATTAAAATCCCTAGAACTGTTTCATTTACAAGCAAATTTTGGAATAGCTTATTTTGAAATTTACTGAGTTTTATAAGCACATAATTCTTAATATTAGTTGCTAAGAATATGGGGAAATCGCAAGATGTAAATTGGTGACCTGGCTTAACATCAAAAGCATCAATATTTACATTCTGATTTAAACATAAAGATGCCTGCTTAATATGCAGCTTTTCAATACACTGTTGGACATTTATAAAATAGGTGCCACCTGATCCTTGACAAAGTTTACTAAATTCTTTTTCTATAATGGATCAATTGTAAATTGCCCAAGTAAGACATATTTAGAGCTTGTAACTAAAAGGTGTCAATGTAAACTTAACAATTCTATTGTAAGTATGGTGTATGGTAGTAGCAGTGTGTTTGAATAATTGTTTTATATGATTACTTTGACTGCCAGCCATGTTAAGAGCCATTTGACCAAACTCAATGATAAAATTAAGTCAGCTGTCATTTTGAGATCTGGTTTCAGTTTGTAGAGGGTCATTGCATAGTTTACCAATTTGAAGGGTCTTAATATTTAAAATTTTCAACCATGTCAAAACCTTGTTTATAAAGATGACAGTATCATTCTTATCCACACCTATTTCAAACTGAGTGAGAAGTGCATTATATATTTTGTCTGGAAACACTCTTAGGCAAGTAGAAACCTGTTGTCTTTCTATAGGCTTTGGAGCAATAGAAATTTCATTTAATTCTGAAAGTTTAGTTAAACTTTCAGATTCAAAACGATATAACTGTTTAAGATGTGCCAATTTCACAACATATTTTACTTCATTATCATCAAAGATTAATTCTCCTGTCTATTCTCTGAGCCACAACTTGCAAATATTTTTCAACAGATGGACATAATCAAAAAACAAATGTTTATTATCTTCAGATAACTAAGGTTTTTCAAGGAGTGTGGGATATAATTTTTAAAAAAAGCTTCATTTACTCAATTGCCATCACATATAATAACCTTTACATCAGCTGGTACAGAGGTGATGGCCTGAACTGTTAACTCAGTTTGTTCAAATAAAAATGATGTTAATTTTGAAATTGGAATCAATCTTGTAAAAAATTTTGGACCCCTATTAAGATATATCAACATTATACCAAGTACTGTTTGAGCAAGTGGAGATGTATTGTCAACTGACTTATCAAATAGTTGTTTGCCATGATATACAGTGTAACCCGGATATAAGAGAGTTGTCGGGACCGGAGAAGAAGTCTCTTATAACCGGGTTTCTCTTATATCCGGGTTTAGTCTATTATATATACATTAACACAGGCTCTAATTTGGGACCAGAGAAAATCTCTCTTATATCCGGGTTTCTCTTATATCCGGGTCTCTTATATCCGGGTTACACTGTAGTAACATTTACTTTATATATACTTTATCATGGAGAACTATGCACCATTTTTGATTGGCATTAAGATTATTAAATACACATAGCAAAAAGATTTTTCATTAAGTTTTAAAAGTTTTGATGTCATCCTTCTTAATGTTGTTAATGATGGTAATTGAAAATCCTGTCATAATCTATTATACAATGACCATGATGTTCTATGGTACTCAAATGCAAATATTAATGGAAAATTTAAAAAATTAATTGAACATTGTTATTTATTTTAAACACAACTAATAAAAAAATTAATTCTATGAACTCATTTGTTCTTTATGAATATTAGAAAAAAAATATTGGAGTAACTTTGTGAAATAATTATGGTAATTTATTTTTAATAAATTTTGAAGTATAAAATTTAAAAAGAAGCACAGAAAAACGTCTTCAAAAAGACGTACGTCTGTTAAAAACTAGGTATTAACTTTATTATTTATTTAATGTCATTTCTTTTCTTTAATTTTAATAAGAAAATCACTACAGTTTCCACAATAACAAAAAGAAAATGTGGTAAAAAGGATCAGCCTTTTTTTTTTTCTTTTAAAAACACATAGGGTGTAAACTGTAAAAAGAAGAGAATTCGCTTTTGAAGCATAACTGTTTGCTTTTCTTTTCCAAGAACATTGAATAAACTTTTAACAGAAAAATATTGAATAATAAACTTTTTTTTAACCAAAAGAAAATGTTGGGTCAGTGACTATTAGTATTTAAGTTAATTTACCATACTTTTTAAAACCCTTAGAAGACCCTGGAAAAATGACTGAGCAGCTGGATTAATTTCATTCACACTCACGTTTTTACAATATCAAAAACTAAAAGTAGTGAATATTTAGAATTTAATTATAATTATATATCAGTCAGTCAGTTATGTGCCATGCGTGATACACACTGTGGGGTTCAGCGTACCCGGATTAAAGGAGAATTTAATACGGGATACCCTGCCCACAAAATACAACGCAAATTTCAAGAAGAAACAACACGATAAGGAACGTTTATAAAAAATAGAACATTGTATATTTATTATCTTGTGAATAGGGTAAAAAATGATTAATGCTTTAGTTCGTTTAAGCAAAAATGTGATTTTGATAAAAATGTCTGTGTTCGTTGTCTTTTAACAGAGTAGCAGAATAATGTGTTTCTTTTGTTTTTGTATAGTTGTAAAATGAAAAAGGGACGAGCAATTTAAGTTAAAAATGAGTGTGAATAAGGAATAAAGATAAAAGGAAAATGTACTTATGAATTGTTTTGAAGTCAGTTGTAAATTTGTTGTTGTTGTTGTTGTTGTTCCTTCCTACTCCACTTTTCGGGTTGAGTCAGTGATGGAATTCACTGTCAATCCTCTGTGATCTTTTGCGCCCTTCTCTGACTGACTGACTGACTGACTCAAAACTCTGTATTTATTGTTGACTTTTTTTTCACACTGGCTCGTTAACTTTTTTTTGGTTTAGCAAATCGCCTCCTTTCATTGGTCCGAAAATTAATTTCACACCTTATTGTGAAATCTGTTTTTGGTCGTTTTGATCCGATTTTGCGGGTGTGCAAATCTACTTTGTGTTTTTTTAGTCATTTGCTGGAATATAGGATTTGTATCCTATAACACTTAGGCAATCATGTATCTTTCAATACATGACTAACGAGGCAGATTTTTTCCTGCAGTAGGTTGCCATTTCTTCCTGCAGTAGACCAGTTGCCATTCAAGGCTATAGAACCCAGTCTGTCCTGCTATTTACCCATAGCTGGGGGGGAGGAGGTAAGAAGAGGATTCATACCTTTCCCAAGGGTATTAGCACATAACGTAAGTGAATATAATAAGGGACTTAACTGGAATTCAAACTGGGCTCTCTTATTCCTCAATAAATTTAAAAGACTACATTGGGTATAATATGCAGTGTAATTCCTGTGCCCAGTTTCTAATAAAAATTTCCTGAATAGTTATATTTAGGTGTAAATTTACATGCTTAATTAGAAGATAACAAAGAAATTTTGAAAAAATTCATAGTTTTGAAGTTATCAACAATAAACGTTCGAACTCATTCATGTTATAGCACTGCAGCCATTACTGGCATTGTTTGTATACATTCACTACTGATTAGATTTGCATGGAAGATTACCTTGTTAATGGCTTTTTTACTGCTCTTACTTGTCTCTTTTACTGCGCAACTGAGGATTCATTGCGCACGCAATTATCAAGACAAGTGAATGTTAAATCCGCAGCAAATATATACAAACTACACCAGCAATGGCTGCTGTTATGCAAACTTCTATTGTCGATACTGGACCTGGTAATGGGTAATTGTGTGTTTCGTGACAACTATTTAATCCAGTCATGAAATCCGCACAAACAAGAATTTTGCAATTTTTTTCTTTACATACACTGCTGGCACAGCTCATTTCAAATGGTTTACTTTCTACAATACACCAATTCTTTCTAGTTTGTCCAATACTTCATTTACTTGTTTTAATGTTGTGAATGGTACATTATGCTTTGGT